TGCGTGTGTGTGTGTGTGTGTGCGTGTGTGTGTGCGTGTGTGTGTGCGCGTGTGTGCATGTGTGTGTGTGTGTGTGTGTGTGTAAGTGCGTGTGTGTGCGTGTGTGTGCGTGTGTGTGTGTGTGTGTGTGCGTCCGTCCGTCCGTGTGTGCGTGTGCGTGTGTTTGCGTGCGTGTGTAAGTGCGTGTGTGCATGTGTGTGTGTGTGTGTGTGTGTGTGTGTGTGCGTCCGTCCGTCCGTGTGTGTGTGTGTGCGTGTGTAAGTGTGTAAGTGCGTGTGTGTGTGTGTGTGCATGTGTGTGTGTGTGTGTGTGTGTGTGTGTGTGTGTGTGTGCGTCCGTCCGTCCGTGTGTGCGTGTGCGTGCGTGTGTTTGCGTGTGTAAGTGTGTAAGTGCGTGTGTGTGTGTGCGTGTGTGTGTGTGCGTGTGTGTGTGCGCGTGTGTGCATGTGTGTGTGTGTGTGTGTGCGTGCGTGTGTGCGTGTGTTAGTGTGTGTGTGTGTGTGTGTGTGTGTGTGTGTGTGTGTGTGTGTGTGTGTGCGTGTGTGCGTGTGTTAGTGTGTGTGTGTGTGTGTGTGTGTGAACTAAAAAAAAACCCAGAAAATATGAAAATAAAAGCTAATTTAAAATAATAATAAAATGATACTAAAATAAACCCTTGATTAAACTGCTATTTATAATCATTTTAATCATATAAACTAATTTGAATTTACTTATTTCTACAAAAATTTGGTTTTGCGGTTGCATTTTTAACAGTAAATGAAGCTAATTAGTTAAAACTTTAGACAAACGTCCACGCAAACACGAGGCACTTGTTAATCCCGGAGGTCACACACACACACACACACACACACACTCGAAACGCTCCGGGGTCAAAGTTCATGAAGCTCCTGACCTTTGAACCCCTCACAACTGTCTGGAAGTTTCCCGCCTCTTTTACAGCCCGTTGTCATGGAAACCAGTGTAAAGTTCAGCGCTCCTCCACACCAGCAAACATGTCAAACATCCGAGACCAGTATAAACTCAGACTGTTCTCGCCGGCGCTGGGTTCTGTTCGCAATATTATATATAATTTTATTTATTTATTTATTTATTCTAATAATTAATTTTATTTATTTATTTGATGTATTTACTTTTAATCATATTTATTTAAATATTTTTTATGAATTCATTTACTTTGTTATTTACTTTATTTACGTTATTTAACTTTAATTTAATTTAATTAATTTTTATTTATTTAATAATTAATTTCATTTAATTTAATAATTAATTTAATTAATTTACTTATTTTAATAGATTTTTAATGTATATATATATATAGTTCATTTATTTATTTTCTTATTTTAATTAATTTATGTAATTGTATTTATTTATTTATTTTGTTTCATTTATTCATATTATGTATTTACATTCATCTTACTTTTTTATTTAAATGTTTTATTAATTAATTTATTTTGAATCTAATTTGTATTAATTAATTTGCTTATTTTAATACATTTTGAATTTATATATACAGTTAATATTTTTATTTACTTATTTTAATTTATTTTTAAATTTAATTTATTTATGTATTTATATATTTAGTTACATTCATTCATATTATTATTTACTTTAATATTATTTATTTAAATGTTTTTGATTTATTAATTTAGTTATTTTAACTTACATTTCCATGAACCCTCTAACCTGTGACATGAGTAGATCATGATGTAACATCACACAGTGCTGTTTTCTGTGTGTGTGTGTGTGTGTGTGTGTGTGTGTGTGTGTGTGTGTGTCGCAGACTGCAGTGGGGGAGGGGCAGTACAGTATCACACACACACACACACACACACACACACTGCAGCCCTTCCCCCACTGCAGGTCACATGACCCTGGTGATGGAGGGGGGAGGGAGAGACTGAACCTGTTCTTTGTTATAGGAGGATCTCACTGTTACCGTACGACTTCTGAATGATGCGCACCACACATACACACAAACACTGACTCACACTCACACACACACACACAGGGGCACTGACTCACACCCTCTCACACACACACACACACACACACACCCATACACACACAGTGTGTGTCTATTTGTTTCTCTATGTGTGTGTGTTTATCAGTGCGCGCGTGTGTGTGTGTGTGTGTGTGTGTGTGTGTGTGTGTGTGTGTGTGTGTGTGTGTGTGTGTGTGTGTGTGTGTGTGTGTGTGTGTGTGTCTGTGTGTGTGTGTGTGTGTGTGTGTGTTCTTTCTTCTGCTGAACACAAAAGAAGATATTTTGAAGAATGTTTGTAATCAAACATTTGCTTCTCATAGTAGTTTTCTCCATGGGAATCAATGGCGCCCTCTTGAAAATATCTTCCTGCTGTAGTTCATTAATGTAAACACTCGCTGTAAAGTGTTAATAACTGCGTATGTGGATTTGTATATGCATTTAATCGACTCCTTTAAACTGTGTTTGTGAATCTGAGAAAGAGATTAGCTCTCACTGATGCAACAGATCGCAACCTTTGCTGTGAATACACACTATACAACAACACACACAACAACAACACATGCATATTTAACACAGCTTGAGAACAAACACATTTAAGATGCAGATCAAGTAGAATCAAAATCAGGTTCTTAAAATCAAATATTGAAATGTATTATTGTTAATTCTGCCAGATGAAAACTGTCAGTATGAGAAGCACAACAAGGCTAAAGTGTGCTTATGGATGAGGAAATAAACTTCCAATCAACAATTAAACATAACGTTGTAAATAATATTTAAATTTGTACTGTATTTTTGATAAAAAACATTTGCTCAAAAGTCTTTTCTGTGTAATGTTTAATAACCCTAAAGTAGGATAACCTGAATAACACTTCTTATGCTACAGTAAAAAAGAAAGAAAAGTAAAAGGTTATATAATTTTAAATATATATATATATATATTTAAATATATATATATATATATATATATATATATATATATATATATATATATATTAAATATATTATATATATTTAAATATATATATTTAAATATATTATATATATATATATATATATATATATATATAAAGTAAGTTTATTTTACACACTTTAAGCATTATCGTATCGCATATCGAATATCGCATTATTAAACGAGTTGTCGCTAGTAAGGATGCGCGGATACTCCAGTGTTTACGGCGGTCGCAGGAATGTGTCACACACACACACACACACACACGCGCTAATGTACGCCTGCCTGTCGTGTTATTTACTTTCCGAACGCGAATGACTGTGCAGGAGGAAAAGAGCATGACTCAATGTGACCTTACAGGCGCAAAACACACGATCATAACAACAACTGCAGAGAGTTATTACACATCACGCTGAGATATCAGCCAAACATTAACGCAAGTGATCATAGTGAACAGAGATGTTTCGTTCTCTTTGTTGTTTCAGGAGATCATGTGTCAACACTAGTTTAGGAAATTATTGTAGCAAAAAAATGCTAAAAATTTAAAATATGTGCTAACTAACCGGACGTGACATGAAAAGGCAACATATTTCTCACGTATGCTGGGCATTATGACAGGGCATTCATTCAGTCACGTGGTATCTATGTCACAATGGTTAGCTCCGCCCACTGTGAAAACATGACTGTATATTAAATATCAAATATGGTCTGACTGGTTGTGAAAGTGTCGCATGCAGCGCCTGATTAGAATACAGTGTTTATAATGTTCACACACACAAAACCTCTGTGCAATGTTCTGGGAATGTTTGTTTATGTTGTTATGTATGCTCCTGTATGTCATTTAAAGTATTGAAATATGAGAGGCATAATCACCGATGATGACGGTGTTATTTCTCCGTGGATGTGTTCTGATTGTCTACTGTTGAATAAGCAGGTTTAAGGTCAACTGCTTATTTTTCCATTGTGGGTCACAAAGTGCAAAACTCCCCCCTCCCCCCATTATCTGTGTCTCAATAGCTAGTGAGCTCCCTACCTAGACAGCACTCAGGGAACCAACCTAATATTGATTTATTTCTAAATTATTTATTGCAAAATCAACTTATGACTGATTGACTGTATAAAATAAGTCAATAACGAGAACGAATAAAATGTTAATTTGCATAAATTGCCAATTGCAATCTGTGTTATTTTGTATTTTCTTAATTGGTGCATTGATCATATATATATGTATATATATATATACACACACACACACACACACACACACACACACACACACACACACACACACACACACACACACACACACACACACACACACACACACACACACACACACACACACACACACACACACACACACAGAGATGTTTTGGTAGTTTAATGAGTGATCAGACAGGTGAAAAACCCCCACAGATGCACATTAAAGTAGGGGCCCAATATCTACAGACTGTGTATAATAAAATATAATTTTGCATTTTTTAATGCAATTCTGTATAAAAAATGCCTTACTTTTTAATATGTAAAGTAAATCATTTAGCATTTTTATTAAGTTTTTAAAAGCCCAACAATTAAATTTAAAATATATAATTTTGCATTTGAATTTGTATATACAAACACCTTACTGTTAAAAAATGGAAATGTATAATTTTGCATTTTAATTAAATTTTGTATAATTAAAAACAAAAATCTTTTAATTTTTTATTCAATTTTGTATAAAAATGCTCAATGCTTTAAAAAAAAAAACACACACACACACATATATTTATATAGAAAATTAAATTAAAAATGTTAAATTATATATATAATTTTAAAATTATATATATATATAATTTTTAATTAATTTTTTAATTATTTAATTTTCTATAAAAATGCTAATTTCATTTTATGAAAAACATAATTTTAAATTTTTTTTAATTCAATGTTCTGTAAAAATGCCTTACTATTCACTGCGTACAATATAAATATTATATACTACAGAAATAGTAAGAGTAGTATGCTAGTGTAGTGTGCTATTGAGTCGCTGTCTAGTTAGGGCGCAGTGTGTGTGTGAACACAGCCCGCCTCGCGCTCTCTCTCTCTGCTGTAGTGTGTGTGTGCGTTACTGTCTCTCTTCCGACGCTCATTCTGTGAGAAACACACAGGAAACTTGTCTAAAAAACACACTCGATCGACATTTAAACGTGAACTTTGGCACACGAGCGCCCTATTATCGTCTCACGTCGATGTTTTAACGGAATACAACGATCGCAAACCGCTGAGGGGAAATCTGACTGGAGAAGATGGGTGTAAAGTCGCAGTTTGCACACTGAAGTTGGAGGATATTTTCCTAGTGGAAGTGAAAGAGAAGCGGGAACTTGAATCTTGGCGGTAAGACTATTAGCGTTTGAACTTTTACTGTGTGGATTGGAAAAAAAAAACCTCGAAGATCTGCTCGACACGCACCACGTTTGAACTTTACTCTCCTTCGAAGCATCTAAAGTCTTATTTCCGCCATGTTTTGTGTTTGTCGACCACCTCAGTGAGTGATATACACTTAATAGCTCTCATTTCGTGTTGTTTTTGTCCTAAAACACGCTGAGGGAAGCGGCACATGCTTCAGGATGAGCGGGTGGGGGAGGGGCGAGCTTCACTACTTACTAATAGATAGTTAGTTATACTTCAAATATTAAGTTACTGCAGCATATACGCTCAAAACATAATGACCACGTGACACATTTTTGAGTCTTGTCCTTAAATGCAAAGTAAATTAAAGCCAGACAAATTAAATAATATTTTATGGAACAGTTTATTTACCCTTTATGTGATTTTTAATGAGGGTTTCTAGGGTTAAACTGTATTGTTAACTCTACAGTATGAATGATTTAAAGTTGTTGGCTTATTAGTTTATCGGTGTTCAGCTGAAAGCCTCCATCACTTGTTGATATCAGTGATTTAGATGCTTGAGTCACATGACAGCATCTGCTTTTGTTTACCTATTGTACTACAGTACAGCTCATTTCTAAATATTTGTGCAGAAGGTAAAAGTTTAATTTTATTGAGTTTTTAACGCCAGACATTAGATCAGCTGCTCTGTTACAGACGAGTTGTTTAGAAATGAGTGTTAACTCTTGTGTAATAATATTCAAAAAATCATTTATATGATTTCCCTCTCTCTAATTGTCACTGTTAAGATAGAAGCTCGTTATTGTTTTTCCTAAACCTGCTGAAGAGACCCACATGGAATCAGGCTTTTATTTGCTGATTTTGGAGAAAAATATCTCTTACTGATAATCAAATTACCCTGAAATATATTAACCGTTAAAAGGTTGTGATCTTGATTCAAACACCCACGTGATTTTATTCCTAAATGACAGAGATTCGTCTCTTTCTATTAAACCTTTGACAAAATCAGCGAACATTCAGATCTGTGTTCTGAACCAGAGAGAGCCGTTGTCATATAGCCTAGCTAGATGTGAAACCGCTTTAAGACATTATTTCTGTCTTAAAGTCCTCCCCATGTATTCAAAATTGACCATACTTACTTTGTTTGCCTAAATTGATCGTTTTGTGGTGAACAATTCATCCATGCAAGTCAATCCGCACAAAAAAAATGTTTGGCTTCGTAATCTTTAATCAAAATCTGAAATTTCCCCTCCCCTTTGCATTGGAGGACCTTCACTGATGACGTAGGTTTAACGGTTTGGGCGTCTTCTTAACATCCATAATCACGCCCCTCCAACTGACAGTAGACAGGCTGAATGAAAACACCTACTTCTCTAGATCCAATCAGGTGCTAGTTGGAAAAAAAGCCACGCCCACTATTTTGCCTCATTTAGTTTTCCGTTTCTCTCGGAAATACGTCACAACACTGGAGAAAAGTCGTTTGCAACTTGCGGTTCACGGGGACTTTAAAATAATTCATATTATCACAGAAGCACTGGATAAAAGTTTATAATTCGGATATAATCACTGTTGTCTATGGTAGCGATCACCTTTTGAAAGTAACTTGACTCTTTAAATAAAGATTTAATTAATTACATTGTTACACCAGACTGTTAAAACATGAGTGAGTCATTGAATCATTCATTCAAGAGATTTATTAAAAAAACGCTGATTCATCCAGTAATGAAATAAGTGAAGTCTTTATGAGTGAGTCATTGAATCATTCACTCAACCTGATTTAAATAAACTACAGCAATTCATATTTTGTCAGAACCTCTAGTGATTGTTTCGTCTATTCAGAAGAATCATGATCTCTAAAATCGTGTAAAAACTGGTGTATTACATGGTTTTACTCATACTGTACCCTAGTGTTTAATTAGATGTATAGTGCAAGCGATTTAGCGATAGATATTTCACTGGTTTTAAATTGCACTTTCTAGTGTAAAATTAATTGACCACAAAGTGGGAACTTTGTAAACAAAAAAAGAAAATATCTTAATAAAAGCCAATATATGATGCAATAATAATATATATATTTTTTAAAAAATTTACCTTATGCTTCTCAGGATTCGTCCACCTCTCATTGCAGTGCATTATGGGATTGCGTTCTCTGCAGATGCATGTTTTATGTCAGATGTAAGTAAGTCTGCTTAGAGGGAAAGACACAGTGTTGTTTTGAAAGATATAGTTTTAAGGCACATTATATTTATTACGTCCCGTTGGATTCCCACGCCTGATCTTCATATGTGGAACACACACACACACACACACTCCCACGCTTCAGCTCGCGCTGTTATAAATAGCTGTAGAGTTGTAAATCATCACGAGCTGACTGAGCTAATGGTTAATAGGATTGAGGAGAGAGAGAGAGTTGTGGTCTGGGGATTTTGAGCAGAACGGCCTAGTTTTGACTGTAGCGTCTGTAAAAACTCCTCGTGGGTCTTTAAAGGGTTAGTTCACCCAAAAATGAAAATGATGTCATTAATGACTCCCCCCTCATGTCGTCCCAAGCCCGTCAGACCTCCGTTCATCTTCGGAACACAGTTTTAGATATTTTAGATTTAGTCCGAGAGCTTTCTGTCCCTCCATTGAAAATGTGCGGTATACTGTCCTTGTTAGGGCTGGGTATCGTAACAAAATGTTCGATACCGATACCTTGACTTCGATACCGGTTCCTTAAAGGGATACTAGGGCTGCAACAAACGATTATTTTGATAATCGATTAATCTAACGATTATTAGAACGATTAATCGACTAATCGTCGATTATTTCGCAGACTAATCAGTAAGTTTGGAACGATTATTCAGCTTTTCCAATTAGTTAAAACATTGAGTTATACATATTCTAACTATAATATAAAAAAATAAAATCACTTCAGCTTTTGAAATAGTTGTTTTAATGAACTTTGAGCCAACTAAACAGGTCATTCTCTTTAAGTTTTCAGATTTCGGTCCAACTCAAATCACACACAAATGCTCTCTAAGCATTGTTTAATAGGCCCACTGCTTTTCTTAGAACTGAAACAGAAAAAGGGACATTTACTTCAGGACACAAAGAATGGTAAATAACTAAACCATTCAAATGGAATCCATAAAACAGAATTTGGTCAAAATAAAACGGAATTTGAGAAAAAAATAAAATGTATTTCATAGGGCCCTAAAAATTTCATTTTTGTTAAACTTTTAATACATTGTTGTTAATTTGTATAGGCTTTACTGATTTCAATTAATCAGACATGCTTTTTGATTACTAAAATTTAATTTAACCATTAAAATCCTGTCAAGTCACGAGCCAATGTGTTATTATGTTTACTCACTTTGCTGGGAAGTTCGTGTATCTGTGCAGATTCAGCGCAAATACTCGTGAGTCCTTATGATATATTAAATACAGCGTATTGCAGAATCTGTGCATTTCTGGCTTACTTGAACACACTCGTTACTACGCAACACATAACGGCGCGCTTGTTCATTTGCATTGAAGTAATAGCGAATATTAAAAAGCATTTGGTGAACAGAAAAGACATTGTTATTTTCCAGCATCCTACATGTTCTGTGTCCTGTACTGATCTGTCCACCTAACACACAATTTTTGGTAAAAATAAATAAATATAAAGATGAGAATGATTGAGGAAGGGAGGAGATTTCTGGATGACAGGATTTAGTTTGAATAAGAAATGAATGTTTGAAATCCAAATTTTGTGACATATTTCAAAGCTTTCAGTATTTTAAAGCTGTGACGTAGTCAATCTGGTTAATTTCTTCTTCTTTTTTTTTTTTGGCTAGTAGAAGTTCTGAATTGGCCGTTAACTTAAAAAATTTAGTAGCCAAATTGGCTGGTGAGTGAAAGTTAATTTCAAACCCTGATTGTGACGTAATTGCGAACAAAATCAGGCCAAAACAAAGTTTGTTCCAGGAATAACAGTAAACGCTTCCGGGCTCTCATTGGTCCGTGGTGATGATGTAACAGGTGGGTGTGGCTCTGAGACTCCGCCCCCTGAGTGAAAACACAATAACTGCTTTAAAAGCTGCTTTATTGTAGGAATTAAAGTGTAATTCTTCCTGAAAGCAACACGGACACTGTTTTTTTACACTGTAAAACGGTTTCATTTAAATTTAAAGCGATCTATTGAATAAAGTGCTGTGGTGAATTCTTCCTGATGTTTTCCAGACCATCAGGTATTGTGGATTAGTTGTAGTTCCCATGATGATTACGGGCTGGTTTTATATAGAGTAGCTGTATGAGCATTAATAACTCGAGGATTTAATATCCATCATGCTGTTGTGCGTCGACTAATAACCCAATGATACCAGTTTCTCCAGAGACCGACATAACAGTAATTCACTCCTCATATATTTGGGTTATTGGGAGACTGATGTCACACTGGCCGGTTGAACCCAGGGCTCTGGGATTGGTTGGTTGGTGTGGGTCAGTTTACCCCTACTGGGGTTTTTTGTTATTCATACTTCATAATATTGTAACTCTTTTGCCAAATCTTAAGAAGGAAATTTTTTCAGTGTCACTCAGTTCAGAGAATGATGGAATCAGGGTTTCAAATCTGGGCAGAAAAGTGTCTCTTATATTGGTAAATGGACTGCATTTATATCAATTCATTCCCTGACATTAGATGGCGCCCATTTGCTCTGCAATACCACTACATAACAGTTCTTTTATCAAGATTTTTGTCATATAGTTCTTTATGTTCCGACACCAACGAGACCAGCCGCTCTACATTCACAGGGCTCCAGACTAACTTTTTTTACTAGGAGCGCTGTTGCCCCTGACTGAGAATTTTAGGAGCACAAGCAGAAAATGTAGGGGCACACCTTAAATCAGCTTCCAATGCAATTATTAAAATGTCCCCCAAAATAACTGTAATACTGACAAATTCTTTAATAGTAAAGAGACTTAACGTACAGATATTACGATATGCAGTTTTATTTTAAGTT